GATCTCAAAAGACTATGATACCTTGAAAACAAAATGCTAAGAGAATGAAGCCAGAACAAGCCAAAGAACAAATGCTGTTATAGGCAAGTTCATTGAGACACAGAGTAGATAGAGGCAAACAAAGCCTGAGAAGAGGAGCAGGGAGTGGTTAATGGATGCGGAGTTTCAGTTTGGGATGATGAAGACATTCCATCGCTGAATGGTGGTGTGGCCACAGCAGTGTGACTGTCCTTCTTGCCACTGGTCAGACACTCAAAAATTGTTACAACAGTCAATTTTATGTTGTGTGTATTTTATCACCACAAAAAAATTATTTCCAAAACAGAAAAGACTATAATGGCAAAAAGGCTTTTTCCACCCCCACCCATCCCCCTAAAGTTCTGACCCCATTATTTTTTGTTCTTCCCTCCTCAGTTTAGTTTATTTAGGGTGTTGTTTGCCACTGAGTTACTAATTCATTGGAAATGATAATGCATCTGTGAACTAAAAATGATTATACGTTAAGGAATAACACTTATTGATAATTAAGTGTTTCGTTGCCTCTTTGCTTCCCCAAATGGAATAAATAAATATTTTAGACATAATCAAGTTTGTTTTCTCTATTCGGGCCAAACAGACAGAGAGTGGTGAAATGATATAGATCTTTAAAATACTGCAGATGAGTCTTGACATCCCTGAATTGTTATGCATCCAGGGTACATAGTCTTGAAATCCTGGCTATCTCCTTTAATCAGGAAAATCATTTTTGTGACACTCGCATTTTGAGTGCTATGGGGTTAGGGAGGGGACCAGCGGGAGAGTATCAGTGAGAATCTGAGATGAAGCAAGGAGGTCTGCCCCGCTCTTCTCCTGTAGCAATCTGCATTTTAATTCCTGCCTTCCAGCTACCCCCGCCCCGCCCCATCTGGCCTTGGTGGCACAGAGTGGGAAATGGGACCACAGAGAGTCTCATACAGTAGGGAACCTGGCACTCACAGTGATTTGTGAAGTGGGCCGGGAAGGAGTTGGGGCAGAAATGAAACTTTCTTGGCAGAAGACTTAGCCTTGAGTCCCTGGGGTGATATGATTTAGCCTGGCCAGTATGCCAGGTTCAAGTACGTCCGTGCACTTTGCACAAGGTGGCTTCAAACCAGGCTGTCCTCTGGTCCATGGAGCAGTGCCCCTCATTGGCACTGACTTTGCATTCTTTCCGGATAATCTGAATGGAGTTTGCTCACCCGTCAGCACTCACCTGCTATTTCTATAATGTTCCCCAAAGTCTCATGTGTTCAGAGGTGGGGCTCTTGGAAGGTGACTGGATCATAGGTGTGCTATACTCACCTGTGGATTGATCCATTGATGAGTTCATAGCTGAAGGTGCTGCTAGGAGGTAGGACCTGGTTAAAAGACATGGGTCATTCCAGCACCTGCCTGGCAAGCACCAGGTCCCAAGTTCAATCCCCGGTACCAAAAAAAAAGACATGGGTCACTGGAGATGTGACCTGGAAAGGTGTGTTCTTGTCTCATCTCTTCCCTTCTTTCTTGGCCTTCTGGCTGCTTCCAGGGGTTGGGTAGCATTCCTCTGCCACACCCCTCCCCAATACCATGGAGCTAGCCAACCATGAACTGAGCCCTCTGAAACTGTGAGCCAAAATAAACCTCTCCTTTAAGTTGTAGATGTCTACTATTTTGTCCCAGGGATGGGAGAGTGACTCATACACCAGCCTTCCATCCAGAGCAAGAGTCAGCAGGTTGGCTGAGGAGTTAGTGTGTGGCCCACTTCTGTGGGGGCAGCTGAAACCTTTGCTGTGCTAGTGTCCACAAGCACCGTGGGTTAACACAACAGAAATTGATTTTCTCATAAATCTGAAGGTCAGGGCTGTGCATCCTCAAAAGTTCTAGGGGACAGTCTCCTGCCTCTTCCAGCATCTGGTGGCTCCAGCTGTTCCTACCATTGGCCACATCACTCCAGTCTCTGCCTGCCTCTGCTTCACGTGGCCTTTTCTGTTTCTCTGTCTTGAGTTTTCATCTCCCAGTTCTCTTGTGAGGACAGCTGTCCTTGGACTTAGGGTCACTCTAAATCCAGGATAATTCAGCTCTAACTTAATTACATTTGCAAAAACTTTTTCCAAATAAGATCACAGTCATAGGCTAGGATGTGGATAGGTGTTTGGAGGGCTACTATTCCACCCACTACACTCACCTTAATTAGCATCAAGGTCCCTGAAAAACTGGGCTTCTGGACTTTGTTTTATTTGCAAGATGGCCCAGTTTGGGTCCACACCAAAGGAGTGGCCTCCAAAGACAGGTGAGACTCACATGCTCGAAGCGAGGGACATGAAGGAGGGGAAAAGTCCATCCAGGGGAGAGGCTGTCTGTAGGGGGTCCTCTGACTTGAGGCTTCTAGAGAGTGAATTGCTGCAGAAGAGTCTCATTGGTCTACACATCCTCTGCCATGTGGGGCATAGGTGTGAGCTAGTCAATGCAGGAGGAAGGGCTGGGACAGGCTCGAGGCAAAGCAGGGACTCGAGTGGATTAGCAAGATGCTCAGAACCTGGGGTGCCGTCCCTTGGCACATAGCGCGTGTTAAGGGAAGGGACCATGGAGAAGGATGCCCCAGCCCTGCCCTTGTCTGGGTACTCCAGCTTGAAGTCAGTGTTGCCCCTCCTCCGTGTGGGTCTTCAGATGAGCGCTGAGTCCGTATCCCTTCCGTACCCCGTAGGGACGGTTAGATTCTGGGCTCTCAGCAGATGGGCAGGATGAAAGGGATTAACCAAAGAGATGCAGGTCCCCACAGTGTGCTGGTGTGGGAGTCTCTGCCTGATGGAAAGTTTAAGGCTGGTTTTAAAGGCTCCTCCCAACCTGGTTTCCTGAAACACACCCCACAAGGGTGAGCTGAATATCCTTGGAAAACCAAAGGTGCTTGAGTGAGAGGAACAGACACCCCAAAGCCCAAGAGAGATGTTTTGCAGTAATAAATGGGATTGGGGGCCAAGGAGCCAGGGAGCTGCACAAAGCTGAGCCTTTCTCTCCAGGGACCTGGTTAGGAGAGGAGATAGGAACCTGGGGCCTCATTTCAAACATCAGCTGATGCCTGCTTCATACCTCAGAGCTGACTGAGGACCCAGCTTTTACCAGGTATCGCCAGGAGAGACATGCAGACTTTGAGTCTCTGCAGCAAATACTTGTGTCCCCTTTATGATGTGGGTGGCACCTGCCTTGTGTGACTACAGTGGGCTGGGCTGGATGTCCCGGGATCGTTGGTTCCACACTTGGTGTGTAGTGACACATGACATACACTAAAGATCTTGGTTGCGTTTCGGTGGTGGTCCTAGCCTTCTGCTTCACTGGTAGTTAGGAGCAGGAAGTGACCTTCTTTTCCTTGAGAATCTCCTAAAGCCTGCAGGAGCTATAATGTAAAAAGAGCTCCATGCATCAGTTCCATGCTCCCTGGTATTCTTTAGAAGGTAGGGTTGGATTTAGAAGGTACCTGGTCGGATGTATGACCCAGAAGGGTCTTGGGAGATTTTCTCTGTACCTTGGGTTGCTTGAAAAAGAGGCGTCTGTATTTTTCTCATTGGAAGGAAGCATTAATTATGGTAATACACAAATAGCCATTCTGATTTCTGTCTTCCCACTTGAGCTTTGCATTTCACCAGGTTCATATCTTTGAAGAAGAGTGTGTTTTAGTCAGCTGAGGCTGCTATAACAAGTGCTGCAGCTTGTAAATGTGTTTGTTATAATTCTGGAGGCTAAAGGTCCAAGATCAGGGCGCCTGGTGAAGCCTCATTTTCTGGCTCACAGCTGACCACCTTCTTCTCATTGTAGCCTTCCTTGCCAGAGATAGAGAGAAAGCCAGCTCTCATGGCTGCTTACAAAGGCAGTAATCCCATTCCTGAGGACCCCATCCTCAGGATGAAATGACCTCTCGTAGGCCTCATGTCCTAATACCATGACGTTGGGAGTTAGGTGTTCGACATGTGAATGGGGACAGGGCTGTCAGGAGACTTCAGTCCACAGCAGAGGCCCTTGCTAGGCTGTAATCTGAGGTGTGGCACTCAGTATGCAGTGGCAACACCTCAATTTGCAGGTGCAGAATGGGAGGTGCAGAGAAGGGACAGGGAGATCTATATGGATAAGGTGCCTGATCAGAACTGGAACCCAGGGCCTCTGCTTATAAGTGTCTGCCCGCGTCCTTTCCCTGTGAAGGTACAGACACTGCAGCTGCGCTGTGGGTCTGTGTTGAGTGGGGTCACAGATGGGGCCGCATGCTAGAAACACTGTCAGGGGTGGGGAGAGAACAAAGGAAGGGGCAGGAGGGTGGAGAGAGGCACTCTGGATGCTGAGCTGCCGTTGCCTGCCAAAATCCTTCAGTGCAGCTTGTCTGGCAAAGCCGGTCTCCAGCAGAGTAAATACAGTGGGTAGCTGACGGGCTGACAGCATGCATCAGACAGTCTTAAACTGCCCCAAATCCGCAGTGCTTTTGAAGCGGCGGTAGAAAAAGAATGCCTGCACAGAACAGAGGCCTGCAACTTTTAATAGTTTCTTCCAGGCCTCAGGATGTCCTGATGAGGTATTAGAGGAAGTAATTCAGGAAGAAAGGACAAATAACCGCCTCCGTCTGGAGGCCGACCCGAGGGCTGGCCATTCCAGCTTGCGGAAAGGACCGACATGGCCCCACGGTGATCCAGGAGCCTCCTGTTAGCCCACCCACCTGCTTTTGCTCACAGCCTTGTAAATAACAGACAAGTAAATTTCTCCTTTGCTTGGGGGCAGATGTAAACCACACAGTGTGCGCTGCTTGTGGGTGAAATCATTAACTTTTCCTCACTGTCGGGTAGAGTGCGGGGTACAAATTAGAACCATTGCCTCAACCTCAAAGCCCTCGCAGAGATCTGGCCACCTACCTCCGGATCAGGAGCCTGTCCTCACGACTGCAGGCTGGCAGAGACGACCAGACGGGCTGCCAGAGCCAAACTCACCCCGCTTCTCTTTGTTTTCTCTTTCTCCTTTTCCTTTAGGGTTTGGCTTTGTCACTTTTGAGAATGAAGATGTTGTGGAGAAAGTCTGTGAGATTCATTTCCATGAAATCAATAATAAAATGGTAAGTTGAACTGGAGTACCTGCACTGGAGTACCAGCCTTGTCACCCATGTCGTGCATGCCCGTGGCCAGGGGCAGGGGAGGGCATGACAGCAGGGGTCGACACGCTCTTTCTGTAAAGGGCCAAATGGTAGGTATTCTCAGCTTTGAGAGCCACGTGAGACAGACTGTCACAGCTACTCTGTATTGTGCCACGGAAGTACCCATAGGCCATTCGTACACAAATGAGCGAGTTAGTGGGGGTGTTTCCCCAGAGCTTTGTTTGTGGATACTAAAAGTTGAATTTCACATCAGTTTCATGTCACAGATTTGTTTTCATGGTGGTGGGGATTGAACCCAGGACCCTGCACATGCTAGGCAAGTGCTCTACCACTGAACCACACCTCCAGACCACAAAATACTATTTTTTGTAACCATTTAACAATGTAAAGACGGTGTTGTCCTCTTGGCTCTTACACAGATAGGACAGGGTGGAGGCTGGATCTGATCTGTGGGTTGTAGTTTGCTGACCCCTGGTTTTAGGGTATGCTTTGATTTTGACTTTTAAAGGGTAGGGATCTCCTACCAAACTATTTTTCTTTGGGCCCTGCTGGATAATTACCACCACTGCCCTGTGATCAATTAGATATTTTCTATCCTGCTTCCCTCTCTTTGGCTCTTTGAAGATCCTCTTTCTGCCATTGTAGCCTTGGCAGAAGGGAGATTGGATTAGTGGAATTCTGGGGCGCCAGATAGGCTACCCAGAGAAGTGACCACCAGAGGGCACCATGCCATGTGCAGTGTGTATCTGCTTGCCAGACATCTGATGCTCCTCCCTTAAAGTTGAGTATGGGTGAGAAGCCCCTTCTTTGTTGGTTTCAGAGAAATGGGAGCTCAGCAGGTGTTTCTGGAGCCATCAACAAGTTCTTTGGAGCACAAACATTTTGGTTGGCCTCCAAAGTCACCAGCCCCAAGAGAAGAGGGAGGGCAGATCTGTGCTTTAGCTGCAGCTGTAACTTTGATATTTTCTCTCTTTTGTCAAAACATTCCTTGCTTCTGAAACATGCTTTCAGATATGCATTGTATATTGGTCTGATATGTGTTCACCAACTTTAAATTCAATAATAGAGCTTTTAGTGTGGATAAGATCAAAGCAATCTGCTTAGCATGTGGTGCTACAGGCCTGATTCAATATTTGACTTGCTAATTTTTTCCCAGGGCACTAAAATAATATTGTTCATATTGTTCCTACCCATCATATGCATCTGAAATAAAAATACTATTTCTTTTTGCATACCAGATGTTGGAGACATCAGCACAGGTTAAAGTGGATCAGGGGGAAAAAGTATGTAGGACTAATACAATTTCCATCACAGGCTCTGTCTGTCCCCCAAATGCCATTGCCTCCGAGTTGGTACGTCGTCATGGTGGGTCACTGCTTGCTATTTTTAAAACTAGGGAGACAGAGGACTTAAACCTGAGTACAGTGCCTGGATGCCCTGTTTATCCTAGCCAGGGTGTGCTACTGACGGGCTCTGTTGAAGGCTGCCAGGCAGCAGGGGATAGAAGAAGCAGCAGAGACCACAGGCAGATGCCCTTCTGTCCTGCCAGGACTTAACGATTCATCAGGAAAGGCCCAGCATGGGCAAGAGACAGCTTCATGTGCCACCTTGAATGCAAATGTGCAGTCGTTCACTACCACTGGGCTTGGAAACAAGCCTGAGACACAAGTGGTGGGGAGGACGTTATCCTCCTCACTTCCAGTGGGGAAACTGAGGCCCAGGATCTGACCCAGGGCTGCCCAGATAGTGAAGGAGCATAGGTCTTGAGCTTACTGGCTGCTAGGTAAACTGGTGTCTTAAGTGGGGGGTGAGAGGATAAACCCCCTCATGACCCAGAGGCAGTCAGGAGGTAGAGGTGCAGCCACGGAAGAGGACCGAACGCGCTGGCTAGAAGCCACAGAGGTTTGCAGCCGCTTTGTGTTGCATGTTTGTCAATGCCAGCTCTTCCCCGGGTGGAGGTTACCTGTGTCAGGCACAGGAATGGGTGACTCTAGTGTGAGTTTCTATTTTCTTTTGAACCTGGGGCTAGTACTTATTCTTTAAGAAAATAAGCAAAACCAGAAGTGGACAAAGGAGAGGAAGTGGGGCACTGTGGTTAGGATGCCAAACTTTGGAGATACTGATCCAGATTCTCAGCCCAGCCCCACCAATTGTGAGCTACCTTAGGAAGAATTCAGATATCCTAAAGGGGGACCTAGAGTAAGCCACTGGATGTCCCTGGGCTCCAGTAAAACAGGGCTAGTAGGGGTGGACACCATTGGGATGTTGGAGGTTGGGTGAGATACCATAAGCAGAGGGCTTACACGGTGCCTGTGCTGGGGGCCAGGAGAACATTAGCTCTTGCCATGATCCGTGCCACTGTCCTTGGAAGATCTTCCTGCAGCCAGCTGCCCTTGCTCTGAGGAAAGGTGGAAATTAAGGGGAGTTGGTAGAGGATCCCACATCCTGAATTGCTGTAGAGTCTTTTCTGAGACTCAAAGAAAGGAAATGCCTTTAAATCGTGCTACAGGAATGAGATAGCTGGGTAGACTGAGAATTCCGCAGCCACCAAGCAGGACACCTGGTGGCCACTAAAATGTACAAAGGAGTGTGTGCACATGTAGGGTGCCACGGTTCTCCAACCTCCCCATCTCCCCATTTGACGGGGGGCTGGCAAATAACTGCACCCTCTTAGCATGCTGACATACCGTTTTCACATATTCATAGCTAAGACAGGTCTCACTGCACATGGGTCATGAGAGAGGACCTGAATCCAGGTCTTGCGATTCACTCTCACATGTCTGGCACTTACTATGAATAGTTGTGAAATGAGTAAAGGATTCGGTGAGGAGCTATGTGATTACGAGGCACATAGTGGCTCCCGTAGCTGCTTCCCGTCTGATTTGGTGTTGAATGTCCTGGACATTTTTTAGAGTGAAGTCCCTTCCCCACCATGCACCATGCAGACAGCCTGCAGGGGCCAGGGTAGCAGTCTTGGGGACGCCAGGATAATGGGGACCCCTGCTTCTCACTCCCTGGGCAAGGCCCTGTCTTATACGCGTCATTGCCAAGGTAGGGCAGAAGGTTGGCCAAAAAGACCCCACCCCGAAAGCTAATGTTTTTAGGTACAAATGACATACTCCAATAAACACGTGGTTTATCTCGTTTCATTCTCATGTTCTCTCTGGTATAGATGCTAATCATTATCCCCATGTTACTAATGGGCAAGACAAGGCAGAGGCAGAGAGAGAGTGAGCAATTTGCTCCAGTCACACAGCAAGTGGCAACCCCAGAATTCAGGTCCAGAGCTCACGTTTGTACCCACAGGGCTATATTTCCTCTCTGGGCCAAAAGATCTTCCATGGTTGCTGAGTGTCCCTTCCTCTGCCGTTGTATCGTGGCCCCCTGCAGTTCCTTGGTCTCCTAGGAGAAGGCAGAAGAGACAGCCCACAGGAGGCCATATTGGTCCGGCAAGGGAGAAGGGCCAAGTTCGAGTTGAGAATCCAGTGAGCCACAGATCTCCAAATGTCTTCCTTCACTGTCCCAAAGGCAGATGAGCAAGGGCCATGGCTGGGATATTGGCTGCCACCGGAGCTCAGGCACCAACCTGGAAGAACTGAGGCTCGGCCCTGCCAGAGTGAAATGTAAATGTGGCTCTTTATCAGTAAACACACAAATGTACACATGCAGCTGCCTCGTGACCCTCCGGAGAGGGGCTCCTCCTGGCCGCTGTGTGAGCCCCAGCACGGGCGCAGCTAATAACGCCTCCCGCTGCAACCCCCTGATTGAAGCAGCCCCCGAGCAGCAGGGACACTTGCTTGATTAGTCGCCAGAGCCCAGCCTCCAAGCAGCCCCCTGATGAGCCAGGCAGCTGCAAGGAGGGAAGTGGGACTTCACAAAGCACCAGCTCCAGGTTTCCTCAAGGCCTGGCTTCATCCCACCTCAATGCTGTTGGGGAGGTGATGCCACCCTCCTTGGGCAAGAACTCAGGGTACAGTTGGAAGGGTCCCTGGGTAGAGCTTTTCCCATCATTCAGCAGAAAAGAAGTGGCATTTGCTTTGCCAACAGCCACATCCTCCCAGCATGCTGAGGAGGGGTCTCGCTCCCATTTCACAGAGGGACCACTAGCGTTCAGAGCACAGGAGCTTCCCCAGGGGAAGTGGCAGAGGTGGGATTTGGACCTGTGCCATTTTGGCTCCAAACCATGTTCTTCCCACTGGAGGCAAGCCTAATATTTGGAAAATCCAGATTCCTGTAGCTGATGAATATATGGAAGAGTTTCCTTTTTATTTGCTTTATATGAGGATTACTGTGGGGTTCCTTTAAGCAACTCGTGGGCATAGCTAGTTTGGTTGCCTGTCGTCTTGGAGCGAAAAGAGGCCTGGGCCCTGGTGGTTAGTGTGTGGATGTGTCCCAGCAGCTCCGCAGCCCCTGGGAGCTGGTCAGGAATGCGATCTCAAGGCTCACCCAGACCCCGGTGTTGGGAGCTGCATGCTGACAAACCCCCATGATTTGTGTGCACATTAAAGTCCGAGAAGCACCAGGCGAGGATCACTGCTAATGATGGATACCGTGGGAGCTGTGGGCCATAAATCGTCCACCCAGCATCAGAAGGAAGGCACATGGAGGGAGGGGAGCATGGAGCTGGGCTTGGACCGAATGCCCGGAGTACGTAGTGCGCTCAGCATTGCTCCTCCCTTCCTTTGTGGTCAGAGAGAAACCAGCTGTCCCTGAGGAAGGTCCTTGTGCCCGGGATCCCCCTGGTGCCAGCATGCTCTTCCCTCTGAACATCACAGAAGATCCCACACATGGATAGAAGCACTTGGATGCTCCTGGGTGACAGGCCCATGTTCTTATCCTTAAGTTGAGACCTGCTGGGTCTTGCAGAGGCACTGAGAGCTTTGAACCTGAGTCTGAATCCCAGGTCCACAGCTGGTTATCCTGTGAACCCCCAGAAGCCCCCCACCTGTGTGGCACTCTTC